TCTTCCCCCAGCTTAGCTGATATTTGTTCATTAGTGTTCAAGGCCACAAGCCTATTCCTGAGTTGGTTTTTAAATTCATGAGAGATAGACTCAAGGTCAAATTTTTATTCCTGTGGATATGATTTAACCTTTTTAGTTTTAGTTAGAACTTGCACATGAGCAGTTGTTGGTCTCTTCCACAATCAACACCTGGCCTACTTTTTGCTGCTGATATTGAACTTCTCCAATGGTTCTTTCCACAGATGTAATCCATCTGATTCCTGAGCATCTAATCAGATGATATCCCTGTGTTTGGCCTGCATTTGTTTCTTATAAAATGTATTTGCTATGAACAAATCATTGATTGTACAGAATTCTATCATTCTACCCCCAGCCTCATTTCTGTCACCAAGTCCCTATATTACAAACACTGATCCATCTTCCTGATTCCTAACTTTTGCATCCCAGTCACCCATTATTATTAAAGCAACTTGGTTACATATTTGATTGATTTGTGACTGCAACAGTTGATAGAAATCATCTATTTCCTCCTCTTTGGCTTTGGTTGTAGGTGCATAAATTTGAATGATAGTGGTATTAACAGGTCTTCCTTGTATGCATATGTATGTTACCCTGTCATAATATTATATTTCAAGGTGAATCTAAAAATGGCCTTCTTTAACTAAGAAAGCAACCGTTTTTTCCCCCTCACCTTTTCATGTCCAGCATAATAGATCATATGATCTTGAGATTCAAAATGTCTCATGCCAATCCATCTCATTTCACTAATACTCAATATGTCAATATTTATGTGTTCCATTTCTTTCTTTAAAATGTTCCATTTACCTACATTCATGCTTCTCACATTCCACATATCAAATGTAAATTTCTTCTTACAATAATTTCTCCTCCTTTGTGTTTCCAAATTTGGAGGCTCATATATATTTGTTGTTGTTGTTATGTGCCATCGAGTCACTTGCGACTCATAGCGACCCTATGTACAACAGCCCTAAACTCTGCTCTGTCCTGTGCCAATCGCACTGTCTCTGACACTCTCATC